CACATGTATACATATTGTAACCGCGCGTGCCATTAGATTATGGACAGTGCTGGACTACCCATCGAGGAAATCATACGCCCCATGCTCAAATATGTTAACTAATTGGTGTAATTGAGACACCAGGATTCAGGACGTCAGTTTTGAAGCTAAGCCTTTGGTCATTGGAGCGATACTGACGACAGCGGGAGCGGAATATGCAGTCAGTGAGACAAGTCTAACCATCTGTCCCCGCGCCGCCATTGCTGCTGGGTAGTGCTGCTCAGGGCTACTACTGCTGTTGCTACTGCCGCTGATGATGATGATGATGATGATACTGCGGCTGCTGCTGTCGCCGGATACTAGCGTTCACAATGTACATGACATGTACAAGAACTGCATGTACATGTAGATGTAAGAGGAAAAGAGGAACAATGAGCTATACGTTGCCTTAGAATGTCCATTAAGGGGGCACATCACCCAAAAATTTCATATGGCATTCAATTGACCGTAACTTTGGTGTTTCTCAGTGGATTTGAGTGAAATTTTGACCACACACTCCTGCCACTATGCTGGCCCTCAGGACATGATTTACAAGTTCTTGCGCCTCACTGACAGGCTTTCCAGGCCGGAAAAACTCAAATTTCCGGCATAGTGCTACGGTGTGCGAGCCACCCAGGAGCCAAACAAATGCATTTACATTTTTTCACATTTTCGGGCCCATTCTGTCCGTGCGCGGGACCCAAACCTAAAACAAGTCCAGAAGCAGCCATGGGTGGTGGGGTAGGGCCCCTCAACGTGGCCCTGGAATCTGTCACAACGGAACGAGTGGGCGTTCTTTCACGGACTCCCACAGACCCAAGTCAATTTTTGAATTTTTTTTAGGTTTAGCACGTGCTACGAGGTCGTACCTTTGATACAACATCCAGTGCTGGGACCTCCACAGCAAGCCATTTCCACAGCGCTGCACACCAAATCCAGGATGCCCTCAGAAACCGGCAAAGATTGCCACTCACGTTTCACTACTGCCTAGTACTGAATCCTACCTGACTTCTTGACACGACTCAAACTTGCCAAAGTCACTAAATCAACGTCAACTACAATAATCAAGCCACATATCTGCAACGTCACGAGGGTGCTGGCAAAAGTCCAAAGCCCGCCGCCGTGCAGCCCAATACGTGGTTTTTTAACGTGATTTTTTGGACTTTTTTGGACTTGGGGCAAAATTCTGCACACTTTCGCGTGTTTCCATAATACGACAAGTTGCGCACGGTCTGCTCACATTCAAATACAGTGCTGCCAACAAATGACAGCATGCAACAAAAAAATCTTTCCTTGCAAGGGCACATTTTCGGCCATAACTCTTGAACGGCTGGTCAGATAGGGACACAGTTTTCAGAGAATTTGCAGCTATTCATGCTCTTTCAACTGACGTAGCACTCAATATGAATTTACAAATTCGATTTTTCAGCGAATTTTTGGGTGATGTGCCCCCTTAACTCAACCAGTTACAGTAAAACCTGTGACTAACGACCACCCCGGCTTGGGGCCAGAGAAAGCGGTCTTTAGTGGCAGGTGGTCCTTAGTTAGAGGTTTGCATCCCACAGTCATTATAATATGAATGTGAGACCGGCTGTGCCTGGCGAAGTGGTCTGTAGTACCAGGCTGGTCGCTAGTCACGGTGGTCTTTAGTTACAGGTTTTACTGTAGTACCAGGCTGGTCGCTAGTCACGGTGGTCTTTAGTAACAGGTTTTACTGTACTTTGCAATCTTTACTTTACAAGTGGACATTTACTTTACTTTTGCATAATTATTACTTTTAGACAAGTGGACAATTACTTTACAATCTTTACTTTACAAGTGGACATTAATCTGCAATAGTGCTCAAATGCCCGGAATGGGCAGAGCGCAGTACGCAAGAGGTACACAAAAGGAAGTAAATAGGGCTGTTTTTTGTTGTTACTTAGAGTTTCATGGCAAAAACCAATCATCAGATCATTGGTCTAAGTGCTCTTGACAAACTCTCTCCTTTGCGTCACCATGGTAACCCAGTGTGGTCAAGACAACCACAGTGTCAGCGCACGCAAAATGGCCGACATATCAAATGTCGGTCTCCTTCGATGAAACATTGCTTCTATTGGATATGGCTGCTATGGCTTTGTGTGTTGTCCCGTCACAGTACGTTTCTTCCGGCTGGGCCGGTGTATCTGGAGAGTCGTGTGAAAGATCTAAGGTGCAAAGGTTGGGAGACAACCTGGAAAGACTGCAACTATCAACTGGTGAACAGTGGCGACACGTGCGCGTCCATCGCCAAACGCAACGCCCTGGTGATATGCCAAAGTGAGTGCGTAGCAGTAGCGGCGATACTATGCGTTACATCACGTGACACGGAGCACAGGTAGAGCGGCGGCACTACAGTCCATTTCAAAACTATAGACTAGTATAGACGCGTACCTGGGCAAAACCCGTTATGCCAGCAACTATACCACATAAAATCTGTGATCACTTTTTCCAAATTGGGCGTCTGTTATCCAATCGTTTAGAAACTATATGAGAGTAATTGTGGAGCGGTCCTGAGCAATATTCCGAAAACTATTCTCAAAAAGGTCCAGCCAAATTTGAAATATTTCAAAAACCCTACGCGTCTATAGTTTTGAAATGGACTGTAGTATGGGTTACATCACATGACACGGAGCACAAAATAGCCCTTGGTGGATGTTGTAGGAAAAAATGGCAAATTCTGTTCGAAAAGAGGTGACACAGGTAGAGCCATACAAACCTTTTGGCAGACAATGCCTTGAATTCTGCTCCATTTCTTTATCCACATACCAAACAGTTCTTCAGAACCCGATGATGCCCAATGGGCGAAATATTGGCAAAGTTATTTATTTATCTTTTTGGTGCAGCTGACAGCCTGTTGCCGGAATGGCGGTATTTTCAAGCACATACCAAACATGCATGAAATATACCAGCCAAAGCATCTAAATAATACTCCAAATTGCCTGCCCTCATTATCCGCCAATGGCTATGCACAGTTTGCCATAGTTTTCGGAATCTGGTCTAAAAGCTTTTCGTCTCCATCCTCTCAGAAGGTTGCTGACACTACTGTGACTTACGTGTACATGATTGTACATTATACTGCAGCGGATTTCACCTGGGTGTCCCGTTATGTTTGGGTTTACTATAGATTTCACCAAGGTGTCGCATTATGTTTGGGTTTACTATAGATTTCACCAAGGTGTCGCATTATGTTTGGGTTTACTATAGATTTCACCAAGGTGTCGCGTTTTGTTTGGGTTTACTATAGATTTCACCAAGGTTTCGCATTATGTTTGGGTTTACTATAGATTTCACCAAGTTGTCGCGTTATGGTTGGGTTTACAATAGATTTCCCGCGGAGCGTGTCAGTGGTTTGGGCTCGTAAGGTACATGTGTCCTGAATTTCACTGGTTGGATGTGTCCAGATGTTGCACGGCTGCAGGATGGATCCAGCCCTGCCGTAGGCACCGTCAACATCTTTTACAACGGCAACTGGGGAGATGTGTGCCACGCGTCCACCAGTTGGAATCCGCTGTGCAGACATTTAGGATTTCAAGGGGCGTTTGACACTGGAAGTGTCACTAGCAGGTGGGGAATAACGCGATTCTCCCTCCCTGTCTCAGTCTCTCTCCGCCTCGCTCTGTCTCTGTCTCTATCTCTGTGACTGTCTCTGTCTCTCACTCTCTCTCTCTCTCTCTTTCGCTATCTCTCTCTCTCTCTCTCTCTCTCTCTCTCTCTCTCTCTCTCTCTCTCTCTCTCTCTCTCTCTCTCTCTCTCTCTCTCTCTCTCTCTCTCTCTCTCTCTCTCTCTCTCTCTCTCTCTCTCTCTCTCTCTCTCTCTCTCTCTCTCTCTCTCTCTCTCTCTCTCTCTCTCTCTCTCTCTCTCTCTCTCTCTCTCTCTCTCTCTCTCTCTCTCTCTCTCTCTCTCTCTCTCTCTCTCTCTCTCTCTCTCTCTCTCTCTCTCTCTCTCTCTCTCTCTCTCTCTCTCTCTCTCTCTCTCTCTCTCTCTCTCTCTCTCTCTCTCTCTCTCTCTCTCTCTCTCTCTCTCTCGATATCCTCAGTGTTAACATAACACGGGGTTACATTGTCATTGTACACTGTATGTAAATGTACACGTATGATGAACAAGACAGGGACAGATTGCTTCCTGATGTTCACTGTGTAGGTCGTCAAGCACAACTCACGTGACCAGTGTCGCGTGCCAGCGCTCAGAATTCTCATTTGCAGATTGCCAGCTTACCTTCGCCTCTAGACAGACGTGTCCAGCTGGCAAGTATCAGAGCGTTTCCTGCGGTGAGTGAGGCACATGTTCGACATCACTTGACCCACAGCGCTACAGCGCTACAGCACACTATGATAATTATTATTATTATTTTATTTTATGGAAGCCTCTTTTACAGGCAAAATACAGTTTAATGAACACAATGAATGGCAATACAATGCAAGTACAATGTTGATAAAAAATAAAGAATGAAAAATGCGAACCCAGTAAACCAAAGGATATTGAATCCAAACGCAAAGTAATCTCTGATTGAAACTGGCCCGACATCGTGACTGTCACACGCCAGGATAAAAGCGATTTGAAAAGCAGTTCGGGCCGGGATTTCTGCTCTGTTTGACTATGAGCTCGCCATGCTTGGTTTGCAAAGATGTTTCACTCCATCCCTACATTTCTGAGGTTGATACCTTTCAGTGCGTTAGTCTGTGATTTTTTCGTTTCCGTTTTTCATTTGTGAACCCGTGTTCGGTTGGCCAATTGCTACCAGGCAATGTGCTGCCATGGAGGACGAAGTAGACATTAGTAATTTGGCCTCTTACATGTATGTGCAGATGGTCCAAAGGTGTGAAATCCCTAGCTTTCAGGAACGCGTAAAACTCTCTTTACACGAGATGAATACCCAAGCCGTCACGTCGCGAACTCCTTCCAGGGCGGAGGGCAATGTTTAATCCTTCTCTATACCGGATTACAAGCCTCCCAGCAAGGAGGTGGAAGCCTCAGCACGCAAGAACACCCTTTTAGCACGGGGCCAAACCCTCCTAGCATAGGGTGAAAGCTTCTAAACTTTTCTTCAATTTGGAAGTGTAAATATTCTCTTTGCACGATGTGACATCCTCCTGGTAAGGCGAGGAGAACCTCAGCACCAAGTCATAACCCTCTTTGCATGGGAGGGTGAACATCCTACTGAAGTGTTGTCCTGGAACAAGTTGAGTGAGAGGGGTACTTGAAATGTTCACACTCCCCTGAAAATACCTCTCGCGGTGAGTATTTGATACACACTTGGTGACTTGGGCTTGGCAATGACGCCGAGACGGTTTATCGGCTGAGTCTATCGGCTGAGCTGGGTGCACCCTACTGGCACAGCCACCATGCTCATGGTGGCCCCTACCATTATTTGTGTCGCTGCTCCTTCCTGCTTCCTGTCGAATTCTTCCTTGGCAGGATTGTGTTCAATGTGAAAAACAACACATACACACACGCACACGCGGTCCCTGGTGTACAGCACGTCAACTGCTTGTGGGTCTTGTGGCAAAGTGGTGTGTCTGGCGGTGGTGCGTCTGGCAGTGGCCAGTCTGGTAATGGTGTGCCTGATGCTTTGTCATCAACTGCTCACCTGCCTGTAGGTCTGGCCCCGCATGCCAATCTCGTTGCTCAGACAAGCACTGAATTTTTCGATGCTGTCATTATCCACCCATGCTTTAGGACTGATCCGCTTGCAGGGAAGCTCTTTACCAAATCGCGGGCGAGTGGAAGTATTTGATGGACGCGAGTGGTTGGGCCTGTGCGGAAGCGGCGCTTGGCACCTGCGAGCAACAGCCGATATCGTATGCAGGGAATTGGGTTTCTCCACAGCAGAAAGGTTCGGACACGGCCGGTAAGCTCAACGTGACACCGTCAACAACACTGTCTAGATACTTTACAGTTAGTTATGCTCGTTGCTGCATAACACAGCATTCACGCCAATGTTTGTCTACGTGCAAAGCACAAAGCATTGTACTAGTAAGTTGTAGACAATCGGTGTGTGTGCGGGGGGGGGGGGGGGGGGGCACCCGTGTCGGGGAGTGGATTTGGTGGATAGTCTGCTGCTCAGTGTCTCGGTTACTCACTGATATGCTTTGTGCTAGCAGATATGTCGCATCCAATTCGGGTTCTCCAGTGCCGGAAGTGCGGTGGTGCCCCTATGATGCACAGTCCTTGTTCGACTGCACTATCGCCAGGCCCCGCCAAGGCAACTGCTCGCAACACACAGCCTACGTCGAGTGTCATCGTGAGTTCTCGCCAATTATTTTTATTATTTTATTTTCAAGAAAGGTTTCTTGTGACGATCATCAGTAGGAAAATACATCACAATAGAAAATGCCAAAAAGGGAACATGCTTACCGGTATAAATTTTTCTTCAAACTTTTCCCGTTTGCGTCTTTCCCTCAAACCAGTGAATATTTTATGACTTGGGGGCTCCCCGCGTGCTAGTTTGTACGTGAAGTGTGTGGGTTACAGTGACTAGTGAGGGCTGCGTCCCACCCGCCTGTGTGGATTCACAGATCACAGGAAGTGTGAGTTACGAAGTCTGAAGAGGGCGTTGAACGGTTACTGCTGGGATGACGACTACACCATAGTTCAGTGGTTAGAGCATCGCTGGCCTCAAGCGAGGGTCTCTGGTTCGAGACCTGGTGGTGACTGTCATTTTTTCTTGTGACTTTTGCCGTCTGCGTCTTTCACTCAAACCAGTGAAACATTTAGGTGAAACAATGCTAAATATACAATGTAAACTTGCAGGATATAAATTAATGTGGTGTAAGTAAAGTATGGTGAAAAAGGAGAAGGACAAAATTGTTACCAGTTATGACTAACTGTTCACCAACGATGTTACATAACCAGATAATAGATCTACAGTTCGGTGCACAGTTTTGAGTTTGTTTTTGCTTGTTCAATCCTGCTACATATCACTGTATCCATTGTAACTACGACAATTTTGACTGTTTGCATGTAGCGCAGTGAGTGTACACGCTATGCTTGTCGCGGTGTATTGTACTTGCATGACTTCGCATATCCTCCTGGCGCGAAATCGGGAAGGCTATCGTAGTACCTGTTGCCCGAAAATCTCTCTCTGCAACGTTATTAGAAAAATGTATGGCGGATAAAAGGTACCCGATAACCCGGCTGTTACCTTTTAAAAAATGGTATTACGTTGACAACCAGCTTCTAACACGCCCGACTGCAAGTTATAACCATGACGAGCACGGCACAAAACAGAAAAAGAAGAATCAGAATAGACTTGCAGTAATCAGGACGAGATACAAGATGCTTATACACTGATGACTTCCTACCAGCAAACACACGCTCGCACTCACCCTTACTCGCACAATCATTCTCGCTGTCACCCTCGCCGGACTGACTGGCCAAATCCTTCTCGACGGCGTTCTGCTTCAGATCGATCAAGTCCCGTCTCCTCCCGTCCTTCGTCTAACGTTCCTGTTGTCTACTCCTTTGGATGGTTACTTGCCTACTCAAATAGGGCATGGCGTAATTGGCAGTTGCTCTTCTGGGTCTACAAGTTGATACATATTGATGAGGTAGGTATCGTTGTTGTCTCTGCTGGTTTTGTAAGATCGACATGTCCATTAACTGTTCTTTCTTTCATGGGAGTGTTCCGTGACGATATTAATTTTGTTTTGTGTTTGCCGTTGACTTTGACGCTGCTGATGATCCATTGGCCAAACATTCCGGCCCTGCTGTGCCGGAGAACTCTGGCGATGACAAATCAGACAGTGGCCGGGTACATGATGGCTGTGACAATGAAGGATGGTGACGTGGTTTACCCTGGCTCCTCCAGGAGGCAACTTGTGTCACTGGTGTTTAACCACCGGAACATGCGAAGATGAAGCAAAAGTGTCCGCATGCAGCACCGTGCCGTCGCCAAAGCCACATCCACCACCGCTTGTGGAGGGAGCGACTGGGGCATGGCCACGGGGGGCAATGGTGGAGTGGCCGAGTGGGACACTAGGTCCTGTGTTGGCGGAGGTAGTGGTTGTTTACGGGGTCTACCCCGCGTGGGACGCTCCAGTTTTGTGCTAGATGGAATAATGTGTATTGGAGTATGTTGCCTGATGCGTTCGCTCAGGTGCTGACCAGTCCTACCAACATACCGGCTAGCATCGCATGACTTATAAAAATGATGGATTGGTTATACGTCCTTCAACACCGTGAACGAACGCATCGTTGTGTAGACGGGTATGAAGTAATCGCATACTGTAACAGCCATATATATAACGAAGTGCTAATTCTAACAAAATACGGAGGAGAAATCTGTCATTAAAACAGAAATCGTTATACAGAAATCGATACATATACTGCCCTATTGAGCGCTGAGAATGAGTGAGAATCGTTACCTTTGGTACACGTAAACTAGTCAATTTTGGGAAATCGTTATAATATATGCGCCGCCTCGCTAGAATAATTGCTTTTACAGTATGTAGTAGGTTTGTTTGACGATCGAACGAACTTCACGACTCACATTGACAGACTTCTTGCCTTTCCACTGTAGGCATAAAGAGACAGGACAACGAGCAAGCCCTATCAGTTCACGTTTCGGCGTGGGGGCTGAGACAACAGTTTTGCCAACATGTTGCCTGGGTATATCTGCTTTTGGTGAAAACAGAGTGGAGAAATTCGAGTTCACCAGTGAGTTTGAAAGGTGAACAGATGCGTTTGGCGCGATCCACGTGATTCTTCACTGAGTTGACGTTATGATTAGATGAACAGTACGAGTCATAGGAAATGTATTGTCCGGTGAATGTCGGTTTACGATACACCGATGTTACCGCACCAAACTCAGTTTCCTGAACAAGTACACATCGAGGATGGATAACTTGCTGGACTGCTCATGCTCACATGTGAAACGGAAGGAAGGGTGAAGGCTGTTGAGAGCACCAAGAAAGACTTCGCTGTCTTCTATGGTGTCCAAGTGCGTGAAAGAATCAACGAAACGAAAATACAGACTCGGCCATAGAGCCGCATCAATCTTGCACTCACAATGACCAACAAAAACATTTGCCGACACGGGACCGAGCGGAGAGCCCATGGTTACTCCATCTATCTGCTTACACATCACGTCATTGAACGAAAACTCTATGCCAGTTGGGACTAACAACATCAAACCTCGAAAAGCCCATTCCGGTAACCACGGAGTGTCCACTTCGTCAACACGGTACAACACATCCACGCAAATATCAATTGTCTCCTTCAGTGGTACGTTTGTGAACAAACTCACTACATCGAACGAACACCTGTGTGAGTGTGTTGGAACAGGTTGGACGCGTAGCTTCTCCACGAAATCGGAACTACTTGTGCCACAGTATACTAGTACATGTAGTTGTGTGACGTATAGTTCGTTTTTAAGTTGGTTGGTTGGTTTTTATTATTTCATTTCGTTGCCTCAACAGTACAAAGTACAAATATCAAGAGGGACGAACGAAAAGATAAAATAAAACAGAGCAGAGAGGAAGATGCAACTGAAAGGAAAGAAAAACGGAGAGAAACGGCGAGTTGCGTTCGCAGTTTTACCTGTTATCACCGTAGTACTAGGATATTTGCATAGGTGTTTATTCTCACTTCATTTCTCTTTATTAGTCCCTTTCTTGAGTGTTTTTCATTAGTGCAACGTAGATTCCTGAGGAATGTTGTGCGAAAACTAGTTTGAAGTAATACTTTTGTTCATCATTTCTTCCACATCACATCTTTCTCCTTCCCTGATCTTCACCGCCTTCGTATCCACTCGTTTTTGAATACATGTACAATAAAACCTTTGTGAAAATAATGTCAGTTGAGCTCGTTCTGTTGATCGCCATTCTAAAACCATTGTCGCCTCGACACTTTTTTACGAAAAGGTAAAACTGTTCTTTGTGAAGAAGCATAACAAGCGTAATGTGCATTGGGCCACAGTGAATGATCCGAAGAAACTCTGTGCCCTTCGTTCATTTGATGTCCTTTGCAGCAAATTGTCTGTTCGATCCGAGATCATTTCCCCATATTGGCGTTGGCATGCCGCTTAGAAGCCTGAAGAAGGGCAGGCCCATTAGTTTACGTTGCAGAAGTGATTTCTACCCAACCCAGTCGCTCATCTACTGCCGAACAGAAGGGACACGGGGAGTGTTGAGCCCAGGACGATGCAATGAAATATATTGTCTGCCGAACACCACTGCACCGGCCAATGGCAGCTTCCGTCACTCCGGACACCATAGGACACTCGACTGTGATAGTGGCTACGAACCACATGGGCCGAGATACCAGTTGTGTGTCAGACAAGATAGACGATCATCCATCTGGCGTGGTCAAGCTGGCACATGCAAAGGTAACTCCTTTAATGGCATATTGTCCATACCACTAGTGAGTAGTGGCACTAGTACAGTGCTGCTCAATAAAATCCAGTCGAGTCACTCAAGTGTGTACCTTGCATCATTCCGCTGCCCAGTGTTTGCACGGCTAGGGCTGCGCAACGCCCGGCGAGTGCTTGAGTGACGCGACTGGATTTCATTGATCAACACTGTACGACTTAGTAGGAGTGGTGAGGCTTCCTGCAGCTTCATTCATAGGAAAATGCATGCCTGCTATGGGCAATTTTGCCGAAATGTTGTAAAAACATGATTGAGAGCGTTGTAAAAAAATTGATTCGAGTTTGCAGAGTGAATTTATTTGTATTTGTATTTGTATTTATTATAACATAAAGGATTTCCCAAAGGCATAGCCTATCGGGGGGATCTCCTAACAGTGAATGGTAAGAGAGCGAGTCTGCTCTGAAACCTTTTCTTTCCTAACACTGTACAATGCACTTCAAACATCATGTGTACAAAGTTATCACCAATGGGTGAGAACAGTTTGAAAAGAAATTGGCCGTGCATATTTCATTGTCGGAGATTGCACGAGAACACAGGGAAATGTTTTAAAAGGGTCTTCAAAGTAGTTTCGGAAAATCGTTGCCTTTTCGCTATGTTTCCATGATACATGTAGAACGAACAGTGTCTCTTTCCCTCAAACCAGTTAGTAACTGTTGTGTTCGTACTTCGAAGTAGTGTTTTCAGGCATGCAGCCGGTGTACCGGTGTACCGGTGTACCGGTGTTCATTTGTTCATTTGTTCATTTGTTCTGTTCCTGTGGACTCCCAAGGCTACTTTAAAACACACTGATGGAATTTACCGACATTTCCCGTAGGAAGGTCCGAAAACGAACCGGTTTTTCCTATGTTGCATTTTCAGAAACGATTGGGGCGATCCTTGAAGGGCGGTGGCGTTTCAACGGGTGCGGAAAACTCGGCCTCTTAACCGAGTCTCACGGAAACCGTGATTATTTGGAGCGATAGCTGGAGCCAGTCAAGAATAGTCACGCGAGTGGCAGGAACATCGGGTCATCTTGTCCCTATTGTTTAATTTTATTGTTTTCAGATCGAAATGAATGCTCAACTGGGTCTCATGGCTGTGACGACACAACGGCGTTGTGCAGGAATATGGCCGGGTCATACGAGTGCCCATGTCGACAGGGATTTGAGAACAATGGCACCGTGTGCCAAGGTAACACACAGAGTATGATTGTAGAGCATGAACGTGGTATGTTATGTAACAGCTCCGAAGTTTACCAGCATTGTACGGGCGAGAGCAGTAGCACTGGCCCATTGCCAACGTCTCTGGTTTGCCTGCTTGTTGTGACTATCTATTGTTTCAGACGTGTTCCCTTTTCAACTCCTCATACGCATAATTATTGTTATGCGAAGTTGCATCCATCACTTTTGGCTTTTGGGGAAACTCTCGACCGGATTGATTTGATTGATTGCAGTTATGATCAACTCGAGTAAAAGAATGAAGAGACAATCCTTTTTCTGTACAATAACAAATCATGGAGCTCCCACACATTAATTTAAAAATGCTAATATGAACAGGTCGCATGTTGCCCACATAAACAAATCATACGGGGTCATGCATCTGTCCATGATCGTTAACCAGAGTTGCTTGTTGGTGAAAAATGCTTTGGTTTGGCATTATATCTTCGTAATCCTGCAGGTTCAGTATTGTGTTATAGTGCGATGACGTGATGTGCGCAATTTGCATACGATTCTTTGCAGATATTGATGAATGTGCAAACGAGACACTACACAACTGCACGATGACAGAGCCCATGATGACCACGTGTCACAATACCAATGGCTCATATGTTTGTATGCTATTGCAAGGAACATCAGGTGAGACGGCCTGCGGCTGCCCACCCCACACTACCACAGTTGTGCGTAGTTGTGGATCTACGGTTAAAGTGAAATTGGCAGTGTGTGTGTGCGCGCGGGTGCGTGTGCATATGTGTGTGTGTTACACACACACATACGCACACGCACCCGCGCGCACACGCACACTGCCAATTTCACTGCTCTTCGAGCAGAATTTGCCATTTTTCTAGCATTATCCGCCAATGGCTACCAGAGAGTGGTGGTTTCGAGAATGCGGAGAAGCTAGTTTGTCTAAACTGACATCTGAAGATTCTGAGCCCACAAACTTTTTTTCTTTCAAACCTGTTCCTTCACTTGTGATCTTCAGATGGGGATGGATTATCAACCAACCCACGTGATCATTCGCACGAGGAAAATCGCATCATTGTAGCGGTGCTCGCCTCTCTGCTGGTTGCTAGCATCGTGTTCAACTCCATCGTCGTGTTCTACCGTCGCAAACAGTCAAACACTGTGCCAGCAATGGAGATGACGTCACAATCGCATAATGCAGCCGACAATATGCGCTACAACATGGAAGTCGTCAACGGTGGCGGGTGCATGACAGAGGATGTACCAACACTGAAGCGGGAGCAGCAGCAACAGCAACAACAACAGCAGCAGCACCAACAGCATCACCAGCAGCAGCAGCACCGACTACAGCGACGACCGCACTATCAGAGCCCCAACAACAGGTCCAAAATCCGGAAGACACCACCTCCACCGAGCTGTCCTCCTCCACCACTGGACGAAGTGATCTACCAGAACCACTGATAGGATTGCAGATGACCAGAACCACTGATGGGAATGCACAGGCTGTAGTCAATTAACTGCAGTGCCATACACTTGGTACCGTGAACAGTTACTGAAACAGGGCAGGGGTGGGGGGGGGGGGGGGGAGGAGGTGGTTAACCAAAAGCTCGACTGTGCCTGTATGTTTCTTGAATGCATCAAAGTAGCACAACCAAACTGAATAGCTTTGCGCCCATATTGCACAAATTCTGAATTATGCATGCATCTCTAGATTGGCCATTGTCACAATCTCTCAGTCTCGTGTCGCCATAGCAACATCTTATGTTTTGGTTTATTTTGGATTCTTCTTTTGCCATGTACATGTGCTTGCATCGCCTGGTTGCGCTGAGTCCATTGCACCTCGGTGTGGTATTTTTTTCGATAGCATGCTATGCAGGCCCGTATGATCTGTTTGTGTGGTATACTATGAGGCATGTTAGTATGCAGGCTCTTGTCCTATCCACGCTGCATACTCTCATACCTCTCTATCCGCACTGAATGTGAATTGCTCATTGTGGATAGCAAGGGATATCCTTTCCCGGTCAGGATCATATGGATCGCCTGTCCTTACATGCATACAAAGCCACAAAGCCCGATCCAATTATGTTTTACTTATCGCAATCACATTGATATGCCTAGCAAAACAATAAAAACACTGGTAACAGTAATCACATCGATTCTTGGAGCGTTGCTTTCGAATCAAATTCCCATTTTAATATCCGATACCCACTATCTTGTATTACGCTTTTCCCGATGCTGTTGTGCGGTAATAGTAGTGTTTTGTCTTTACTCTTTACTCCCATGACAAGTCTTCCGTTAGTCCAGAACATCATCATGTTTTTTTCCCTTTTTCTGCAGTTCCCGTTTCTATTTCCTCTGTTTTCTTTCAGAATCTTACGTAGCTGAGTATAAGCGTGGAAGGAAATCTAGCATAATATCTGTTTGCTTGCACAATGTGCCGTGGTCTCTTCGCTGCAAATTACTATTGTCTCGATCAAATTTTCGGCCAGGAGCCAGCATCAGGATTGGTGGTGTAGGGTTTGTCATCAGGGAGAGAGAGAAGGAAAAGAAGAATGCAAATGCCCGGAATGATGTGCTGGGTATGATGCGTCTCTCACTGGCGTGCGAAGACTCCCCTGTAGACTGTAGACTGTAGACTGTACTGACTGTAGACTGTACTGGCTGTACTGGCTGTAGTCATCCACTACGTATCCATACATACCCACAGCACTCTCCAAAACGGTCTCTGGGAGATTGGTGTAGGCCAGATATCGTTCGGAGTGTTGTGGGTTCTAATGCTGGCTATGTAGTACATAGTGACATTGTCTACTTCGAAGTATTTAGATGACGGGGCAGAGAAACGACATCAAGAGACGTCCTGGGTCCTGGTACAGTCAAGTATTATCTCTAATATAAGCACGGTCCTTTATTTTTTCAATGTACTTCCGCCCCGTGCTATTAATGGAGACGTTCCTTTATTGGAGACTGTTCCATAATTATTTCAACCTCATTTCAGAGGCATGTTGCCATGCCACATTCATGTATGACACACACATTTCAGGGTTTTTTTCGCCGGTACAGATAATGAATTTACACAGTGTGCTTATAATGGAGACTGAGCACTTTATTTTTTGAATGTCGCCCCAAGGTGTTCTATTATTGGAGACGTGCTATTATTGGAGACTGTGCTTATATTAGAGATAATACGGTACAAGGCATAGATCATGGGCATATAAACGCGGTTGAACGCGCGTAGTATGTACTCGAGTACTCTGGTAAGACGATACACTTGCTTAGTACGGAAATTGCTCACAGGAAAAGTGTACTAGTCCACACATTGAAGTATCATGGCTTGGATAAGAAGTACCTCGGGTAATAAGTACACTTTCCTGCAGCCCATTGGAAGTACATGTACTTCAGTACGTCTTATCAGAGTTCACTTTACATGTTGTCAGACAAGCTGACAGCAGAGGCAGTCGGTGAAAGCCAACGAGTCGTAAAATACCGTCTACCTGGTAAAAATGCTTACAATGTCATAACGGCGCACGGGTATCATTTGAGGAAACAATGGCGAAACCCAAACAAGAACTTACAGGTCGCTTCCCTTGCGTGTTGGAGACAAACACCCCCAGCTCTTGCTAACGTTAGAACGTAAGAGATGCTTATTGCACGATAGAGCAGCAGGGGTTAATTTAGAGTGATGCGACTGAAAGCGATTAGAGTCATGTGACTGGAACTTGAAGCTGCTAGCAACGGTTTAGAGTGAATCCACTGAAGGTACGTGTACTTTGAGTAATGTCATCGGAAGCTAATAACAGGATAAACTGAAAGAAAATTAAACGGTAGGGTGATGTGACTGGCAGCTATAACAGCTAGTTACAGTCTTGGGACTGGAAGCTGATAAAAGGTTTAAAAAAAAGTAATGCGATCGGATGCTAATAACAGATTAAACTTGAAGCAAATTAAAGGTAAAAGTGATTAAAATGGAAGCTCCTAAAAGCTTATTAAAGTGACGAGACTGGAAACCGTCTTTGAAAACGTTTCAACATCAGTTACTGTTGCACTAATGTAGAAATTTGATAAGTCATAAATGAACAAACAACAAGAACCAGGCGGAAGGAAAGTATAGTCTGTTTGTGTGGTAGACCGCCACACAGACCGCCACACAAACAGACACGTGGACAGACACACAGACAAACACACAGACATACACACAGACAGACAGACAGACAGACAGACAGACAGAAACACACACACACACACACACACACACAGACAGACAAACAGACAGACACACAGACAGCAATACAGACAGACACACAGACAGACACACAGACAGCCATACATACAGAGGATGCACCTGTGGGCGGCCATAAGATAGCGGTGGTGGTGGATTCCTCGGCCTTCCAAGATCTTTATGGTAAAAGCACATTCCCAGCAGCTCTTGCCATGTTCAGCAGATATTGCTGCCATCATCGCTACGGCGATAGGCATGTGTGTGTGTCTGTGGAGGGGGGGAGGAGGAGGGTATGTGTGTTTGTGAGGGGGAGGGTAAAGGTGCGTATGGTACCTATGCACACCCTACACGTCCTTTTCCAGTGTGCTCCGGGCCGTGTGGTGTAGACCAGGTGTGCATTGGGGGTCGATTCACGTGGCTTCGGCAGTTGTGTGGAATAGACAGTTATCTGGCGCTCAGTCTTGATCTGTTTCATTCAGAATCAGATCCACTATCGTTGCTATAAGAGAAAATCTGTAGGTGGACATCCAGTGCATTTGCAGATTTGCTGCTTCTCTTGCGACGGACGTGTACATGATACATGGTATTTGTGTGTGCGTGTGTGCGTGTGTGTGTGTGTGTTTGTTTGTTTTCATGCATGCGTGTGTGTGTGTGCATATGTGTGTATATGCACGCGTGTGTGTGTAAGGGGGGGGGGGGCGGTGAGAGAGTTTGTGCATATGTGAGAGAGAAAGTGTATATGTGTGCTTGTGTGTGTGTGTGTGTGTGTGTGTGTGTGTGTGTGTGTGTGTGTGCGCGTGCGTGTGTGTGTGTCATAGAGAGGAAAGAGTGAGAAAGGGCAATGACACCGGTGTAGAGAGAAGTGAGAATGCTTGAGAGAGAGAGAAGTGACTGTAGAGGCATTACTCGTTCAGATCAGAAGATTCTTTTACATTGATGAGAGTATCCGGGGAGTCTGGTGGTGAAGGATCCTTCTTTGTGGGTGACAAGCAACGGCTATTCGGCTGCTTATAGCGAGCCTCTTCAGGCTGCTGCTGATGTTGCTGCTCAGGCTTCGATGTCGGCACATCGTACATTGGGCTGCTATTAGCATTGTCGGTGGTGCCCTGGCCGGCAGCCATGCTGTATCTCTGGGGGTTGGATTCGCGGTTCTGTATCAACGCCATGTCCAGAGCGGCCGTGGCAAACACGGTAGCCTTGGCCTTTCTGTGATAGCAGACGGTCAGGACGGTGCTGAAGGTGATAGCGACCAGCAATAGTGATCCCATCGTAGCCGCTATGATGCGGAACTCTGTGGGACTGTGTTCCTTGGAAGTAGTTGGGGCATGTGTGTGCTCAGAATCTGTGAAGCAAAAGAAGCATGAGCAATTGTTGACGTTCAGTCCCAACTACCTAGTTAACAGAAATTGAAGCCTCAATAAAAAGTCATAGATAAAGTAGGAAGGACAAAATCTTATAAGTTATGACCAACTGTCCACCAATGTAACCTGATCATGTACAGTCGGTTAGTGCGACAACAAGGCCGAAGACTGACAAGGATTACTGAGACATTCGACGACCTGGCATCCGAGTTTAAAAACTGTGAAGTCATGAATCTCTTTGTATCAGCACAGCTTTTTAATACGTTACACTAGAAAAAACGCGATCTCTGACTTGGGGTTCATGAGCTTCAGGTGATTCTTTATGAAAGTTTCCAACAAGAGGGAAGGTGTGTGGTTGATTTGTTGACAATTGCCCGGTGGGCTCCAATCTTGTTAGAATCGAGGAGCAAGATGGTGTTGGGACCTAGTCACACACTCGGCCAACCCCAGGTGTGACCGTGTCGGCTTCACTGAGAGGGAACTAGATTATTATTATTTAATTATTTAATTATTAAAAAGCTTACGTGGAGATAAAAATGTAATCAACGCAATAAATAGAGTAAGCTGCGCACTCAGTACAAACACCATTAGCAAAACTTGTTTTCATGTAAATAACTAAGCTTGTTCCTAAACGTTTTCGTCGCCATCTCATCAAAGGATTACTGGCAAATCAAAACTAGCTCTAAACTCAATATATATACGCACAATGCAAGTAATAATTTACACCCTAACTAGTGCGAGAAAATGAGAGCTGAAAGAAACATTACATCAATCAACGATATCAGGTGACAACAGATGCGATAAATTCACCACTAGAAAGTAACCACAAACGAGAACTACTGATCTAAATTCACAAACAATTTCAACGTAAACAAATTCTCTGGAGGCACGGATCCACCAGCATGTGCCTCTTCACGTTATGCCTGTTGAGGCACGGTCGTCAAGGCCTAGACGAGGTCGTCCCCCAAAGAATGGTGCTGAGACTGGAGGTGCACCCTCGCTGGGGACGGAACCAACTGGGGTGTCGTTGTCTTCTTCGTCGGCATCGGCTTGTTCGTCATTGCCTTCGTCTTTGCCGTCTCTTCCTTCTGTCCCGTCATCACCGTTGGTATCTGCGGTTTCGTCTTCTTTGACTTCCTTGGTACCGTCATCCGGTGTGTCCACCTCCGGTGGAAAAAGGCGTGGCCGGCCACTGAGGAAACCACCGGATGGTGTGTCTGCGGGACCAGTGACTCGCTCTAGGGCGAGGTTGGCAGAGTCTTTATCGTCTCCGTCGTTGTCGTCATCGTCGTCGTCAGCATCTTCCTTATCTCCCTCCTCCTCTTCACCAACACCAACGGCCATTGAAACGTCAAAGGGAGCATCATCGCAGCAGGCAGTGCCAGTAACGGACGTGTCTTTGGTACTGACATCTACACCGGCCTCGTCTGGATTGGCAGTAGCGGCAAGGAATGTAAGGTCGGTTTCATTGTCACGTAATTCCAAAGTATGTACTGGTTCTAGTAGTGGTGCTAGGGTGTATGAATCTTCTGTTGCAAACCATCTTGTTCAGAATTGTGATTGTCGTTCTAGTTATACTGATGATTGCTTTTCTGTTTGGTCTCGTTCACGTAGTCAAAGGTATCTGCGTGTATTGGAGTCTATCTACATTTTTACCACCAAGCCGATTTTGTGTAGGCAGAAAAAGAATTTGTTTACGTTGAAATTGTTTGTGAATTTAGATCAGTAGTTCTCGTTTGTGGTTACTTTCTAGTGGTGAATTTATCGCATCTGTTGTCACCTGATATCGTTGATTGATGTAACGTTTCTTTCAGCTCTCATTTTCTCGCGCTAGTTAGGGTGTAAATTATTACTTGCATTGTGCGTATATATATTGAGTTTAGAGCTAGTTTTGATTTGCCAGTAATCCTCTGATGAGATGGCGACGAAAACGTTTAGGAACAAGCTTAGTTATTTACATGAAAACAAGTTTTGCTAATGGTGTTTGTACTGAGTGCGCAGCTTACTCTATTTATTGCGTTGATTATATTTAATTATTATTAGATAACCGCAATCAATAAAACTAGCTGAACCGACATTTGTGTACTTTATTCATGCAATGTAAAAACGGTGGAGACGATGTGCAATAAAACGATGAAACTATGAAGAAATGGTGTAGGGAAAAAAATATGGATTCAAACAAGTTTTCGTACAACACTCGTATTTGTTCGTCCTGCAAGCTGCAGGAAGAGCTTGATTTTCTCCGGTCAGTTTTTGTCAAGAGCGGGTACCCTGAGTTTTTGTTGCAGAAGTTGTTGAAAGTCGAACAAACTACGAAGGCTCCTATGATTGGTCCTGCTCGTTGTCCCGTTTATTTATGTTTGCCGTGGAAAGGGCAGGAGTCGACTAAAGTTTGTAGTGCAGTCAAGTCTGTTGTTCGTCGAACATACTACGCAGTACACTTCGTGCCAGTCTTTACGACGATGCGTGCGTTTACGGTGCGGAAGGATGTCCTACCAGCCCATCACCTAAGTCATCTTATTTACAACTTTGAATGCCGACAATGCGCTAGTCGGTATGTTGGTAGGACTGTTCAGCACCTGAACGCACGCATCAAACAACACACACCACGTCACATACTTCCACCTTGCGCACAACAACGAAGACCGAAGCGAGGGCGACCTAGAAAACAACCAATAACCACACAGCCGTTGCCTACACAACCCGCGGATCCTGGCTCACAGACTGTGCTTGCTCCGCCGTCGCTGGTGGCGGTGGGTGGTGGAGGAGAATGGGCGTGGTGGCTCATCGGGTCGGCTTGTGTCGCCGCCTTTGCTCCGGCCGTCGGTGGTTCCCTCGCCGGTGCCCCCGGCGGCTTTGGCTGAGGCGGTGCCGCTTGCGGTCCCGGTCCCACTGCCTCCTCCTGATCCTCCGCCATCGGTTCTTGCGGCGGTGGAGCTTGCCAGTGGCAGACCGCGAGCAACACTGACAGCTGCATTAACACTACAAATGCCGACTCAAAAAGACCCACCTTGCATATCAGTAGCTCCCACACCAACACCAACAACGCAATCTACAGCAACCACAACTAATCCACCATCCAAGCCCATAATAGACCGATCCCCTTATTATTGTCTGGGTTCGAGCAAGGGGGCAACTCCGCAGTCGCGTGGGATCCTGCTGCACACACGCGACCAACCCCACCGCGACTGTGCGTGACTTCTCGCATGCGAAGTGCAGAGCACACGAGATCTACATGCAGTGCAAGCCTGTCTACAAAAAAATGCCACAAGGACTTTTGATTTGAGCTGTTTTGTTTTTGTTTAGACGTCTTCCTTTTTACGACTTCAGGATGCCTTCTCAGGATCATTGCTGCGTTCCTCACTGTCAGAACAGGAAGACGAAGCAAACAAGTCATTTCACTCCTTTCCTCGTGTGGAGCCACAGCGGCCTGGAGCAAGCGGATCCAGGCTATTCCCCGTGAGGAAGGACGTAGTTTTAGGGTCACTCTGAATATTTGAGTTGCAGCGATCATTTCGATCCCGAAATCGAAATCGTTTTGCCCAGCTCTACAAGGACAGGATGAGTCCAGGAAACCAAACAGCTGTCCTACGGTACCAGGTTTGCTTTTCGCAAGAGAGTGGAGTCTGGACGCCCTGCTCCCCATGCTCGCAAAACAGTATTTGCTGAGCCTAGTGCAGTTCGGTCATGGAAGTGCAGCGTCTGGATCAGCCATCACGAGCTCCCCATGCTCGCAAACCAGTATTTTGCTGAGAGGCAACGGCACTTTGAGTTGGAAAGGAACCTGGCTTAGTGCAGTTTGGTCCTGTAATGGAAGTGCAGCATCTGCATCAGGAGTTGGCAGCAAGTAGAGCTCGTGTACAGAGTCTCGTGGAGCAGTTGGACGATGTGAGGACTGGGGTGAAGAAAGCCGAAAAACAGCTTACGTACAATAACATAAAGAAAGACTCTGAGCCGCTCCAGTTTCTGACTGGTTTGCCTTCAGGTGTTTGGACCGCTCTGTGGGACTTCTTTGAGGCTAGCCGAGAAAATGTACTGCGCCGCGCCAGATCTGCGAAGACGGAAGCTGAGGGATGGCGGATACAGTTGGAGGTGGCCGTAAATCGCCAATGAGCATGTAATGGAGAATCAGCTGCTATTGGCATTGATGTGTCAAAGCCTGGGCCGAATGGAACAGAAGCTGGCATGCGTGGCACAAGTTAACCATCCGTTTCACGGTATATAGCTAGCTGAGCTGGAAACATGTCTTGTTCCTCCGTTTGGGCATGATCCCCATCTGGGTGAGCTGGCGAGATGTTCAGTCATCAATGCCATGTACCGCAAGACATTCTGCAATGGGGATGAAACAGTTCTATTTTGCCATGCACTTAGGGTTCTCGCACCGGCACGGCACAGCACAACAAGACCCAACAGATCCTTGCGCTCTTATTTTCTCCCATGGTAACATTGCCGACCACAACACCCGGTAGCCAGTCGCAGATGCAACCAAATCAACCAGGTTCTTTTTTTCCAATACGGAAACCAAAGGTATACCAATATTTACATCGAATGCAGTGATGATTTCAATACTGTTCACTAGTACAACGCATTACCAGACTGGCATATAATCATGAAAATATTATCCATTTCGCAATCACTGTCATTGCTTTCTTAGATCTCCAATCATCAATATCGGACCATAAACCGTCTACTAGTATCATCTTATATTATTTCATCATTAGTATCCTGCTACTATCCTCCTCTAACGATGAGCTTGAAGAAACGAAACGGCTGTCTAGAGGCGTAAATAATATCTGTCAACGGAAGTGTCCTTGCTGTGCTGGTGTGTTTATGCTTCGTGCATTAGTTCGGCCAAGAGCGCATGGTGGTGGCGGGTTGAGGATGTAGTACAGCGGAGTATGACCGAAAGCTCTGTCACGATGTATTTTATTAGGAAGGTATAGAAACGGAAAAAACTGTATCTTCATCTTGGGCGTAAACAGCCCGTCTCACATTAAATATACTAGAAAATAGTTCACTCTGAACATGCAGTCTTCCTAAGAGAGAGAGGGGGTATATTCATAGGTTCGAAAGAACCGCACACACTTTGCTGCAGACAGCGGCAAGCTTTGGCCCTCGTGCTTCGAAGAGGGAGCAATCCACTGCGCTACGCTTGCGATTAACAGCAAGCTTCAACTTTTCAAAGGTACGACTCATCACTGGCTCTGGGGTAATGTTCCTGGAACAAATGCCCCATTGCCGACTGAGGGCCAGGGAGCACGCAATCTGCCTTCCTGGGCGAGAAGTGTTCCAGCACAAGAAGCAGCACGAATACATGCTGACAAAGACCACCATCACCACCAGCCGGCACACAGCACACTGTTCTTCAAACACCATCCACTCCGTCCATGTGTTTGCACTGTCCTCCTCTAGCTCTTCACGCTCAACAAATACCACGCACTGCTCATCGTGTTTTTTTTCGCTTCCTCTGGGTTGGCTAGCCCTTCGACTTGACAAAACAGCGATCACCACTGCACTGCTATCGTCACCTCATACCAGTCGCTTCCACCAGTGGCTTTTCCTGTCTTTGCAAGGTGTCCAAGGATGGCTGCTGTTGTCATTACAGGCAAATCAGAAGTACTTTAGTGGCTGATGTCCAACCAGATCGTTGGAAAATCGATTTTTCCTCTTCAGGGCTGCTGATCGCGATCGCGACTTGGTGACTTGGCAGCACCACGGTTACCTTCATAGAAGATGGCTCTGGAGAGGAAAAGGCAGACCAGAAAAAGGTTACTATTGTCTTCAGCACCGATCTCAAGGAGAAAGATATACGGTCTGCTAAAGCCTAGGCACAAAATAAATCTCAAAACACGATTCACGATTCGAATATTTCAACAACAAAAAAACTCACCTCTGGAGTAACTCCTGTTTGTGGCCCGAGATCGTTCCCTCCAGCGCCTTGAAAAAATCCTACAGCTGCATCACAGTCCATGTCTCTCTCGGAGACTCTGCTCCTACCAGCAGGAGGTTCAGCACCGCTCGAAGCCATCGCAAACTACTTGAACTAAGCAGAACTTCGGACATTCCAAAACAAACCTGAAACACACTGTCAAAGATGCTGTCACGTTCAAAAACTAGCTCGATCGCGAGTGAGGTTGCCCCCGTGCTCGAACCCAGTATAATAAGGGGATCGGTCTATTGAAAGACCAAGACGATCAACAGCCAACTACAACAGAAGCTACGCACTCAGCGGACAAGGGCGAAAGGAGGGACGTGATAGCAGGGTGACGGCCGAGTTGAGTTCAATGGACCCAGTCAGGCGGGATGGACGAGACAGAGAGAGTACAGAGGAAGCGGAGGATGGAACGGACGGCGGAGGGAGCAGTGAGTCGGAGAGCAGTGATGGGAGTGATGGTGAGAATGCCGGTGAGAGTGTTAGTGTTGTGCGTAGGTTTCGTGGTAGCAAGTCTTCAGTGTACAATCATCTGCTAGCTAGTCCTGATTGTTGCAATTCGTATTCCGACTCTTCGTTCACTGTATTGTGCCGTGGTCGTCATGGTTATGGACTACAGTTAAAAGTGTTGGAAGCTATCTATTAGCGTCTGTACAAGCCTAATTTGTGTGTACAGAAAGATAGTATAATTGGGTTGAAATTGTTCAAGTAACGTGTCGTGTTTAGTGCGGCCAAGCTTGGCCGTCAATGTTCTAGGTGTAATGTACTGCTGTTATGTGTTATCACGTTGTCTTTCCTTCCTTTCTCCTTTGTTCATTTCTCGCTTTGATTGTTAAAATTCACACTTGTAAATTTCACTGTTGTTGCTCTAAGTGTTATTTCTCTAACTTAGATTTTCTATAATAGTTCAATTTTAGTTTCAGTGTCCTTTAGTACAACGACGATTCCTGATGAGTGTTGTACGAAAACTTGTTTGAATCCATATTTTTTTCCCTACACCATTTCTTCATAGTTTCATCGTTTTATTGCACATCGTCTCCACCGTTTTTACATTGCATGAATAAAGTACACAAATGTCGGTTCAGCTAGTTTTATTGATTGCGGTTATCAAATTATTGTCTCCTCGCCGTGTGTTTAATTATTATTAACTTTTATTTTACTAGGGTGTTTCCCACAGACCTATGGTCTTCTTACGGGAGCCCCTAGGAAGGTTATGCATGAGCGAATAAATGAGCGGTAATCGGTACAAGTACGAACAGTAGAAGGTAGCATATTCCACCGGTCAGCAGCGACATAGCCAATCCGAGAAAAGCCAGCCGTACTCTGTGCTGGGGGCAATGCCAAAGAAAAAGACACCTGGGATCTCGTAGTGGCAGTGGTGTGAAAGCTACAGCAGCGGCTGGTAAAGATTTCTTGAAGCAAAGAGCTGCAGGTTCCGCTATGGATGCACCGGAACAAAAGAATAAACAGTTTAGATGGCGAATGTACGTGTAGCCACACGATAGAATTAAGGCATCAAACCACGAGTTTGGCCCAGGGAAAAGAGACCAGAACTGCATGCTCTTGGGGATTATGAAATCTGGCACCTTTTGTGGTCCTAGTGGGCGAATCGTTTTTATTTCAATCCAAATGAGCAACAGTAACCATCAAAAAGAAGGCATAAAGCAACAGCAAATGAAGGTATGCGAGAAACACCCAATTTTCTAAAAAGAAGAAGAAAAGAAAGGGAAAATGAATAGTGAATGAAGTGTCACACATTGAAAAACATGACATTTGGTTGCCCTAGTACCTTATTGTCAAGTTATTACACACAACTAGATCATCATTGTTCGGATCGTGACAAAGATCATTTTTGTCTGAAACGTTACTTTTCTACGCATTGAATATGTGCGAGCAGGTGAAGCCAAGTGCCCCATCCCCCACTGCCCCTTTACTCGAGATCCATTGTAATAATAATACGTTGTTGCATGCACACTTCCTGACAATCTAGTGCCATGGCAGATTGCTAGTTATACAAGCACACTAACTCACCAGGACATAGCTGGAAAGGAGAGTTCAGATAGTGACCTGACGTGCAGACACACTCAAATGACCCGTCAGTGTTTTGGCAAGTGGCACCCCCTGAAGAGCAATGGTGTAATGTTCCGTTGCTGCACTCGTTGACATCTTGTAGCCATACCACACAAACCAGAGAAAAGCGGAGTCGGAATGGATTGCATGCATTCAGAGAAAACTAACAACATGTTGTACAGTAACACCTGTCAAGGCGACCACTCGGATAAGGCGACCGACCTGTCCTAGACGACCAACTGTCCTAGAACACCACCTGTACTAGAAGACCACCTGTCCTAGAAGACCACCTGTACTAGAAGACCACCTGTACTAGAAGACCACCTGTACTAGAAGACCACCTGTACTAGAAGACCACCTGTACTAGAAGACCACTTCAACCATGAAGGTCCCTTTAGACAGGTTTCACTGTACTTTTGAAGTACATTTACTCACTGTTTCCCTCAAGCTTGTGTGTGTGTGTTTGTGTGTGGGTTTGTGTGTGTGTGTGTATGGGTTTGTGTGTGTGTGTGTGTGTGTGTGTGTGTGTGTGTATTGTGTGTGTGTGTGCATGTGTGTTTGTGTGTTTTGTGCATGGTGTGTGTGTGTGTGTGTGCATGTTGTGTGTGTGTATTGTGTGTGTGTGTGCATGTGTGTTTGTGTGTTTTGTGCATGGTGTGTGTGTGTGTGTGTGCATGGTGTGTGTGTGTGTGTGTGTGTCTGTGTGTGTGTGTGTGTGCATGGTGTGTGTGTGTGTGTGTCTGTGTTTGTGTGTTTTGTGCGTGGGTGGCTGTGTGTGCGCATTTGTGTGTGTGTTTGTGTGTGTGTGTTTGTGTGTGTGTGTGTGTGTGTGTGTGTGTGTTCTTGGTTAATTAGCTGCTGACGTGTGGAGAGATGGTGGCTCCGTTTGGAAAGCTGTGAGCTCGAGATTTGTGTCAGCGAGTCTGAAATTCCCTCTACGACTAGGAGGGAGGAATTCCCTCTACGACTAGGAGGGAGGAATTCCCTCTACGAGTAGGAGGGGGGAATTTCCTCTACGACTAGGAGGGAGGAATTCCCTCTACGAGTAGGAGGGGGAATTCCCTCTACGAGTAGGAGGGGGAATTCCCTCTACGAGTAGGAGGGGGAATTCTCTCTACGAGTAGGAACAGTGTTGTAGGTGATGCTTGTCAGTACATATGTCCCAACCTTTGCAGCTCCACACATGAGTGAAACTCAGTTCTTTGAGCTGCTACAATGAGTGATTGCTGACGTCGCTGCATCTGCTTAAGCAATTTCACCACCCCACCCTGTGAGGCTCCCTCCTTCCCCGCACTGAGGCTCTCCCCCCCCCCTTCCATGGCGAGTTAGGACCCAATGTCAATTGTGCAGTAGAAATGACCGGCTCTCGAGCCTAATACAGCATGACGCTTACCAACGCAGGTTGCTGGAGGGCTGTCCCAAACAGACTGACCATTCCTTCGGACACAGACCTGAATCTCGCTGCCACGCCTCTCATAGCCCGGCGTACATATGTACTTTCTCCGGTGAAGTGGGTAGTTGTTTACGATCACGTGCCCGTTTTCTGGGTGGGAGCTCGGGCTGCACGTGATTCGTGCACAGGACGCGCTGGACAGGGTGCTACTGGCATTCCTAGCCCTGTACCTACAGTGGATGTATGGTCGTGTGGGATAGTAAGCACGTTCGCAGTACACCGCCATAGACTCCCCTGCCTTGAGCCTGCGGCGAGGCATTAGTGTTTCATTTGCGTATTCTATCGATGGCGTGTACGGGCAATTGGCTGAAATGGTAGATATGACAAGGTAGAGAAATAACAATGTGAAGAAGAGGTTGGTGCCACTTCGGCGATAGTAGGGGAAGAGTGTAGAGAAACAACTATGGAGAAAATGGAGAAAATGGAGAAGGACAAAAGCGGTAGATGTTGCGACTAACTACAGTCCATTTCAAAACTATAGACGCGTACCTAGGCAAAAACCGTTATGCCAGCATCTATACCACATAAAATCTGTGATCACTTTGTGCATAATGTTTTCCAAATTGGGCGTCTGTTATCCAATCGTTTAGAAACTATAATGAGAGTAATTGTGGAGAGGACCTGAGCAATATTTCGAAAACTATTCTCAAAAGGTTCCAGCCAAATTTGAAATATTTCAAAAATCTATAGTTTTGAAATGGACTGTAGAGAGGTTCTGCATGCCGAATTTCGGAATTTTTTCGACTGGTGTTTTCCGTTGGTTGGTTGGAAATTTTTCGACCGCAGCGACGTTTTTCAACCCGAAATATGTTCTTCGACTTTTCCTAGTTGTTGCCAGGCAACAGAATGGCGCCAGCGCTTGGAGGCCGCATGTTCAAATTATAATAAATTTATTTTTAAACTCGGATGTTGAGCCATAAATAATGTAGAAAAGAAAAGGACAATATGGATACGAGTTAAGACACGAGACACGAGTTAGGTGTCAGGACGTCGAATGTCTCAGTACTCTGTCAGTTTTGTGCCTAGTTATTGCACTTTCTGACTGTACATGTATATAGTATCCAGTTACAGTGATGGAGAGTTACTCTTAACTCGTATCCATAATGTCCTTTTCTTTTCTAAATTAATTTTTTTGATTTGAAATTTCCACGCATCGCCTTTCGAGTGTTACTCTAAGAGCAAACAGGTATGGTCACGGACACTTTTCTTCGTCAAGCCATTGAACCGAGAGTCACCAAGGCTCTGCATGGCCGCGCCACCTCGTCGAAAGCTGGGGAACCACGGACAAAAGTATTCTCCGTGGCACGAACTTGCCTCAGCATGAGCAGATCCACTGTGAGGTCAAGGCGAGTTTGCTTCGCCCCAGACCCTGGAGAACTGCCAGAAGGGCTACTAGTAATAAAGCGAGGGAGGAAAGAGCAAGGAGTGATTTCCAGGTCGGAGGTTGAAGAGGAAGACATATTCAGAACTGACAAAAATCAGAGAACAAAAAGGCGACTTTTCGGCACGTGCACTTGAACTGGTAGTTTACTTGCCGAAAATAAGTTTCGACAACTGCATGACTTTCGAGTCGAACTTTCTGAAAGTTCGACTCGCTCTTCGACTCTCGTACCCAGTTTACGAAAATTATTCCAAAATTCGGAATGCAGAACCTCTCTACTGTCTACCAACGTAACCAGATCGCATACTGTCAGCGAGTGCGACAAAAATGGTACAAAACTGACAAGGAGTCCTTCTCCTTTTTATCCGTAATTAAATTGGCTCGCCATCCAAGTTCATCAATATACGCCGCAGAGACAAAAATATTTGAATAAACGCCGCGGAAAGATTGACTTGTATCCACCTACTTGTCGGAAATAAATAAAAATTCCATTCACTGGATGTGTTCCCGATAAAAGGGCCGGTTCTTGCAGTAGGTTCATTCCTTGTTGCAGGTGCGTTCTTTCTAGCATGTCCTTTTCTTGTGGCAGGTCCGTTCCTTGTCGTATTTTCGTTTCTTTCAGCAGGTTCAGACATTAAATTAAAAGAAAAAAGTTTGTCTCCTTTCTCAACGGAACTCACAACGGCCGATAACAACCAGATAATCCAGTGTCAGATGCATCACCGAAGTCCAGACCCCGTAGCAGGTCCATTTCCTGTATGTTACCTTTTCCCTGTATCAGGTTCATTCCCTATAAGTTACCTGTTCCCCCATATCAGGTCCATTTCCAGTGGGTTACCTGTTGTTGTATCAGGTCCATCCCTGTAGGTTATCTGTTCCCTATATCAGGTCCATTCCCTATAAGTTACCTGTTCCCTGAATCAGGTCTATTCCCTATAGGTTATCTGTACTTTGGTCGGATTTCATTGAGCACAACTGTACTGCAGTATCTGTACCCGATCTAGTCCAGTGAAGGAAATAAACCCACAGGGAATGGACTTGCTACAGGGAACTGATGACCTACCGGGAATGAACCTGATACAGGGAACATAATATAACCTATATGGAACCTCTCAGTTTTATAACCTATAGGAAATTGATCTGATACAGTGAACAGATAACCCGCTGGCAATGGACCTGATGCAGGGAAGAGATCACCTATAGGGAATGGACGTGATACAGGGCACGGATATCATACAGGGAATGGACTTAATACGGGAAACTGATAACCCACAGGGAACGGACCTAATACAGGAGCAGATAACATACAGGGAATGGACTTGATGCAGGGAACATAATAACCTATAGGGAATGGACCTGATACAGGGAACTGATAACCTAAAGGAAATGGACCTGGTACAGGGAACAGAATAAATCATAGGGACTAGACCTGATACAGGAAACTGGTAACCCACATGGAATAGACCTGATACAGGAAATTGGTAACCCACAGGGAATGGACTTGATGCAGGGAACAGATAACCTACAGGGAATGGACTTGATGCATCATGATAATACACTGCACCATGGACAAGAACATGTCTCACGTTGACATTCCACAAAGGCGTCGGAGTTTGAGCAGCCGGCGTGGCGAGGGCCTGTGTCAAACTCGCAGTCAAAGATCGACCGTGCGCTGCTGGGACAATGCCTCAGTCGCATCAGCACAGCCCCAGCGCCAGCGGAAAACCTGCAGATACATTGCAGCATGCAGGACAGAGCCACACAGCAAAAAAAACATTGGTGATAATTACACAGTGACCAGCCACATGACTTCATATTCCAGAGAAAGTATGTCGGTCTGGCATGCAGCACGTAATACAGTAAAACCTGTCAAGGCGAGCACTCGGATAAAGGGGGCCACCTGTCCTAGAAGACCGCTGCAGCCAGGACCAAGGGATGCTATTTCCAGTCAAATGACCCTGGATAAGGAGACCACCTGGTTACAGAGACCACGTTTTGAAGGTCCCTTGAGCGGTCGTCTTAGACAGGTTTCCCTGTAGTGATGTGTATACTAGTACTATGAGTTCAATTGATGTTTCTGACACGCATACAACCTCACAGCTCTCTCAACAGACTCTAGGCTACACCATATAGCCCTGTCTCATTTCAAATAATTGTGATGTAGCATAGAGACCGCGGAGAGTGTATCCCGGGTTTTAAGTTCACGCTGAAGTCCAAGGCTCGGACTGTAGGCTAGCAAATGTATCCTTGGACTAAGAAAATTGATAATTGCCACTAATTTCACTTCAAAACACCTGCAGTCTATGCTCCACGGATCAGTTCTCAGCTGCACCAAGTAAATACACGAATTTGGTTCAGCTGAGAGCCTGTTCATACTGGACAAATAATGGCGGTGTTTTCGTGTTCAAGGAATACACTGGATTGGAGTTTGAGAGTTCTTATTATAGAAAACTTGGTATCAATTGGGTGGAAAAACATACCGCCGTTCGCCAAATCTCTGTGCCTTCAGGTAGCCCATCTGCCGACACACAATGTCTGCGGTGACCTGCTGCTTCCACACACTGTCTCCACAAACCGTACCCCAACTCTCTCCATCAAAGATTTCCACTCGGCCACGGCTAGGTCTAGACAGAGAGGAGGATGATCTTCCTGGATCCATCAAGCGAACCAGTCCTGAGGTTTGCGTGTGCAGGTGTGTTTGTGTGTGTGTTTGAGAGTGAGAGAGTAAGAGAGAGAGAGAGAGCGACAGAGAGAAAGAGAGAGAGAGAGAGAGAGAGAGAGAGAGAGAGAGAGAGAGAGAGCGAGCGAGAAAGAGAGAGAGAGAGAGAGAGCAAATGAACAGGGGAGGTATGAAGGAGGTACAATCACTGGTTGCATACCTGCACTTAACACATACCTGCACTTAACACATACCAGAAGGAACTCTAATCTGTTCAGCTGTGACTTCAACATTCATGCTTGCATAATCATCAGTATGACGTCATTATGGCTAGTGATAAGCTCAGGATTATGTCATTTTAGCACCTGATCACAGTGATCGGCTGGATAAGGGTCTTTGGATATTGATTGAAAAAAGTTACCGGGCTCGCAGGGGATTCCACAGTGAGAGCTTACGCACACCGATGTGTTGTTATTTTCGTACTTTTATTCTAAAATTAAATTGCATCACAAACAGGCAATTAGACCTCTTTTACCTATCAGGCTGTTGGAGGGAGTGGGGGGGGGGGGAGGAGACAACTGGGGGAAGGGGACGGAGAGAGGGAGGGGAGAGGGGGGGGGGGGCGAAGGGAGTGTATGATGCTGCATTTACCAGCAAAACGTACCACACGATACAGAGAGTGCCGTGTTTCCAGGACAGGTCTTGGGGAAATCCAAGTTCAGATGGCATTCGGTGATGGATGACTCCGTACCGGTACAATTGGCGCCCGACGAAACAATCTTTTCTCCAAATCTGCAGAGCAGCACAAAGACCATAGCAATGAGGTAAGTCAGAGTGGAAAAACAGGAGAAGGACAAAAAAACTTATGAGTTATGACTAACTGTCCACCAACGCAACCAGATCATATACAATCAGCGAGTGCAACAAAATGGCACAAAGCTGACAAGGAGTACTGAGACATTCAACTTCCTGACCCACAGCTCCAAGTTGTAGACCAGTTGTAGTGATACTGGTGTGACCGATAGTCTTACTAGTTTCGTCCTCATCCAGTAACTTTCGGCATTCTTTGTTGCCGTGGGACTTGGCTCGTGCTCTTCTTCGTTGCCCTTTCCTTCCCGTCTTGGACATTTCCATCACCTGATCCTTCCATGTTGGAAGGTTGATAGTTTTCGCCTGGGAGAAGTGTTGCAACTAGGTGTCAGGCTGTCGAATGTCTCAGTACTCCTTGTGAGTTTGTGCCATTTTGTCACACTCCCTGACTGTATATGATCTGGTTACGTTGGTGGACAGTTTCTCATAACTTGTAAGAGTTTTGTCCTTCTCCTTTTTTCCATAATTAAATTCGCTCACCATCCGAGTTTAACTAATGCAGAGTGTCTGTGTGTCCCCCTTTTACGGGCCAATAGAAATTAAAAAATCCAATCTGAAGAGCAATGTCACGCTAAAAATCAAAGTCAGAGTGTCTGTTAGATTGTGGTGATTACTACATAATACTGTAAGAGAACAAACATTCGGTGCATCTTTTTTCGGCTATTTTCGGCCTGTGCAATTTTGGCGAAAATTTGTGGCAGCCGAACTTCTGTTTTACAAGGTTCAGTGTGCCAGTGTATGCAGGCAGCAGCAGTACGGGCCGAAATTTCAATGCGGCCGGAATGTGTTTTGCCCTGTGAGGCCGAAATTTGAAGGCGCGGAAAATTTTGTAGACTTTAACACAGTATAGGTCCAAACAAGGCCGGCCTAGGCAGCTCGAAGCAGAGTGCTCAATGCACTAATGTGCAGAGTAGCATATACATGTACATGTACAAGTACAATAGAGGCGAAAGGTGGTGTAGCTGTAACTGCAAGTTTCACGCATTTCAGCTATCATCAGACAGCAGCATTTGGCATAATATAGGTACAATGGTTGCAGAGAGAATGTGCTACCTTCAAGCCAGTCAAATTTACTCTCGAAGATTTGGGAACTTGAGAGTGGGCTGGTAGTCGAAGGAAAGCTGTGGGAATTCTATACGAGTGGGGCCTTGGCTTTTTTCACCCCTCTTACTTCGTTCTCGCATGCTAGGGTTCTCAAATGCCAAGCATGACATGAGGCACGATCCAGGGACCTTCGCTTGACTGGGATGAAGACTACCCTACCACTGAGCTAGCTATGGCCCATAATGGGGTGTCCCACCACTGAGCTAGCTATGGCCCATAATGGGGTGTCCCACCACTGAGCTAGCTATGGGGTGTCCCAGTCTTTTGACTTACGACTAGTGCCCATAGTGCCATTATTTGTTTGTTTGTTTGTTTGTCATTGACTTGCTGCACTCAACCACACACATGCTGCTGAACTGGCCAGTAGAGTCCGCTATCAGCTGATACATATTATATCAGCAGCATCGAGCCGCGGCTCTATTGGACAGCCTGAAACCTTTCTGCTTTGCTGATACATGTACTTTGATACTGGAATGAACGCGGCAGTAAGAACTAAGACATTGTGCTGCATAAGAAACAGTATGGTGGGCTCTTTTAAAGAGAAGCATTTGGCAGGCTGACATACGTTATTGGATGCGATCCAGCGCGGTAGACGCCGTGGAATCCCAAATCTCTGCACACGGGATTCCAGCTGTGCCCACTGTAACCACTGTCACACACCGAGCCCCACACGCCATTGTACTGCACGTCAACATGCCCCTGGGCAACACTCTGGTCGTTGACAAGGCGAACACCGTCTGCAAACACAGAAGAGAAAGAGGTATGCTACATCATGTGACTAGGATCTTGCTCAGCCGAGATCCACAATAATTAATGAAATCCAACCTGGTTTCCTACATTTGTGCTGAGCCTACCAGTGGGTGGTGCTGTCATGCAAGTTGCCGAGTTCAAGGTTCGATGGATTTCTCGTCTGCTCTGGAAAGCAATCAATATTCTGAATTAGCCATGGGTAGCTTCAAATCGGCAGAAGAAGCGTGTGCTACCTACTGTAACCTTGTAAGAAGCCATACACAAGTGTCTTGAACCAACAAGACAGGTTTTAGTCATAGAGAAATCACCATCGAGCTTGAAGCGAGATGGAGATATGGTTTCGGGGCACAGACGACTCGACGAGGGCCTGTCCCAAGATGCCAGGATGAAAAGGGGGAGTTGGAGTGTGCATGGGCTTTGCTTACGTTCGCATACAATGGCCGCCGCGGGTCTTTCTGAATACCCGCACCGGTTGTATTCAAATGAACGATAATTAGATGTGATTCTGCTGGAGGAACAATCCATCAAGCGCTGTTCACTGCCATTGCAATACAGGTTGGACGTATAGCGAAAAAAATGCAGATCCTGTGGATCAATGGGAAGTAAACTCCTGCAGAGACACAGATACGGCATATCCATCTCAGCAACTTTACCAGAGACTACACTTCCACGTCCACATGCACATCGCTGAAGCGATGATAGTGAACAAGCAGTGGCATACAAGGAAGATGTTTTGGGTTTTTTTTGGGGGGGGGGGGGCACGTCCAGACAATGGCCTGCTCGCATGTACTATGGTGTACGCTAGTACTTGTTAGCAACAATCCGAACTAGCGCACACACTGCACTGTATTGTTTTGTACTGCATTCAAGACTGACGTCATGCGCTTTGTTTTGCTGCGTAATCACAAAATGGCACCAGCCCGTTTTGCTGGAAAGAAAAACAAATCTTGCTTGCCCTGTTGTGCTCTTCCAGACAACGGATCGTGCTTCAGCAGTGTCTCTTTGTCGAAGGGCGTATAGCTCAGTGGTAGAGCATTCGACTGCAGATCGAGAGGTCCTTGGTTCAACTCCGAGTGCGCCCTCCATAACGTTTTGCACACTTCCGGCCCAACATTCCGGCTGGTGCACAGCCCGAATAACGATAGCCAGCTAAATATCGTTGAGTCGGATGACGTGAAGCAGGTGCGTCGCAAGGTTCGCGATATACATGTAGCTACCCGGCTCGGAACATGGACCACATACATGTCTGTTATCACGGCTCTTGCCCCACACCGCACTGCTGAACTGATTGCGTACCAGCAGTTGATCCTGACTGCTAACCACCAGTTCTTCCCAAGCGCGTGGCTAGAGTACGACCGCCAGCTGCGGATGCTCGCGTCCCAGTAACCAGGCACGAAGAGGTTGGACACCATCGACGTGAATCTATGGCAGATAGCTTTCACAGGCCATGCAACCCCAAAATGCGCTCAATGTAAGACGGTCTATCCGGGGGCGGTTTGTGTCCTTTTCGTCCCCAATCTCAATCCCCCAAGCCAGCAGCATTTACCTCCAGTGGTCGTACCCATACCAGCGACGGCCAAGAAATCTGCCGCAACTTCAATGGAGGTTGCTGTTCTTCGTCGTCGTGCCGCTATTCCCACACCTGCAGCCAGCCTGGCAAGGACCACCCATGCATCAGGTGCACCCAGCAGCAGCGCGGAGCCAATCGACCACCCCGCTGCTCCTAGCAGAATGGCTACTTAATCGCTTGACTCGGTACGTAGCTTCTTTCCTATACACTCTGCAGACACCACACTGCTAGCTGACCACTTTGCCCGCCTGTTACGTAACCACTCAGATCAATCATGCGTTACGTATGTTCTCCATGGCCTGCGCCATGGCTTTACTCTTGGATCTGCCGGCCAACACGACATTTCGGTTTTCTCTAATAATCTGCCCTCGGCTTTCACTCACTCGGCATTTATATCCGAGAAATTAGCTGCTTCCTGCACCCGCAGCGAGACCACAGGCCCATTCCGGCACCTCCATTTCAGTTCATGCGCCGCTCTGGTATTCGTGCCGTCCCCAAAAAATGAACGCAAGCTGCGAATGCTCCACCATCTGTCTAGTCCGGGAGGCACTGGCGCGAACGACAGCATTCCTGCCGAGCCGCTCTCTCTCTGCACTACGAGAGCATTGACAACGCGATCAACATCATCATGTCATGCCCACAGTCTGTGTATTTGTCCAAGCTTGATGGACGCAGTGCATTTCGGCAGATCCCAGTCCGCCGTCAGGACTTCGCTGGGAAGGCTGCTACTACTACGAGCGCTTTCTGCCTTTCGGCCTCCGCTCCAACCCAGCCGTCTTTGACTCAGTAGCCAGAGCAGTCAACTGAATCATACAGCACGAGTTTGCTATAGATCACCGGCTTCATTACCTCGATGGCTTTCTCGATATCTCCTCTGGTTTGGCTGCAGCCAACCAGCAACTCACCATCCCCCTCGGGGCATTCACGTATCTCGACATTCCTCTTTGCTCCATCCCAGCTCGAAGGGCCATCACCATCATTGACCTTCCTTGGTATTGTCCTAGACTGCGAGCGCCACGAAGCTCGGCTACCAGAGGACAAGCTGTCCGAGATCTGTGCGCCACTCATGGCTACTATCAGCAAGCGCAGCATCGGCCAGCGTCAACTCGAGTCCCTCCTGGGGAAGCTCGCTTTTGCTGCCCGAGTCATCGTTCCTGGATGCACATTCATGCGTGAACTATGATTAGCGTGTTGTTGTTGTTGTAGAAGTTTATTTAACGTCGCACCACAAACAGGCGATTTCGCCTCCTTTGATACATGTGGACGACAGAAGGAATGAGAGAGAGGGGGGGGACAGAAGTATGGAGAGAGGAAGGGTAGAAATAAATAAGCAATCAACCTCAGGGCTACACCAAAGCAAAAACGGAATGGGAACATACTATATACAAAATAGCTTCATACATATATTGCAAAACACGTTTACTATTCTTCAGTCCGCTATACCACAGAAACGCACTAGCCGAAAAGCATTTAAACGGAGCCATGATGCGCTTTTAGCAGGGCGCAGAACTGAAGGTGGCTGGGCTCGGAACGGAGATCAGGCGGGAGCTGGTTCCACAGGACTGCGCCGATGAACTGCATGGTCGCTCGACCCGCAGGACCGGGCCAAAATGGTACTCGAACGAGGTGATGTGCTGCTCCCCGAGTGCGGTCACCAGTAACTCTCACGAAGAAGCTGGTGAAGAGGGAGCTTGCTCGGGAGAACAGACAACGACGGACAAAGATGAGGAGCTTAATGTTAAACATGTCCTCCAGGGTGGTGAGGCGGAGCTGTTCAAAGATTGGGCTCGTGCGCGACCACGGTGGCAGACCGAAGAAGCCGCGGATAGCGCACTTCGTTAGACGTGTGAGGGGCTCCATGTTGCCAATTTGAAGTGACGGATAAAAGGCGTTGGAAGCGTACGACAACCTACCCTGGATCATCGACCTGTAAAACAGGATCTTTAACGCCAGGGTGAGGCTTCGGCGGCTCCGCCACAGCGCACCTACTGACTTCCGCACCTGCTGGATTGTGTGATTGACGTGAGGCTCCCAGGAGAGCTGCCCATCTACCATTACGCCCAGGTACCGCGCTTGTTCCACAACTGCAAGGGCTGCATTCCCACAGCGAATTCGAATGTTATCTGTGTCAGGGGCTGGGCCTCTTGGGGTAATCAACAGAGCTTGCGTTTTCTTTTGGTTCAGCATTAGTCCGCGGTCCTCCAACCACTGCGACAGGCCAGTGATGGCTGTGCTTAGAGAAGAGCACACTTGTTCGCAACTGCCCGAGGCTTCAATTGCAATGTCGTCTGCAAATTCCTGGTTTGTGACCTGCTGGGGCAAGCAGCATCGAAGGTTACGGATGTATAGTGTGAACAGGAGGGGGCCGAGGACGGATCCTTGCGGCACCCCTCGACTGCATGCGACGTATTCCGAGCAATTTCCGCCCACGACTACGCGTTGAAGCCGCTCACTCAGGTAACTAGTGAACCATAGCTGGACAGTACCGCCGACCCCAATGTCGGATAGCTCCTGTGCCAAGATGGTGTGTTTGACACAGTCGAAAGCCTTCGACATATCCACGAATATCACACCTGTGAGTTTGCGCTCATACTTCGCTTTCAGCCAGCGATTGACAGCTAGCACAAGAGCGTCCTCCGTACTGTGGTTCTTCCTGTACGCGAACTGCGAGTCAGGGAGAATACTGTGATCGGTCAGAAAGGATGTAAGCTGAGCTTTGACGATCTTCTCGAGGAGGCGAGAAACGACTGGTAGTAGAGAAATAGGTCGATACGCAGTAGGCTGACAAGGGTCAAGGCCGCCACCTTTGAATAGCGGCGACACATTAGCAATTTTAAACTGACGGGGAACACACCCCTGCCATAACGAAGTATTGAAAATGATGCTGAGCGAGGGAGCCAGTATTGATGCCGAGTTTCTAAGGACAATACCCGGCAAGTCATCATGTCCAGTTGCTTTTGACGCGTCAACAGACTGGAGAAGGGCCGTTATGTCCTCCGTCGAAACAGGCGCAAATTCCGTGAATGCTGGTGCTTCACGTTTGGCTGGTGCGTTGGCGCACAGCGCGTCTGGTCGTCCAGGGTCATGTACAACTTCGCCAAAAGTTCGGGAGAGGATTCCAACAGGTACTTGTGGTGGGCTTGAACTTTTCGCTCGTCCAGTCACCACGTTTATCGTATTCCAGAGCTTCCGTCCATCCTTTCCGGCCGACTGTAGGCGAGCTTGAAAATACTGATCCCTTAGCCTTCGATCTAGCTTGCGCGCGGCTGCGCGGAGAGTGCGGTGTTGCTCTCGCAGGCGGACATCGTTTGGAGAGCGTGAAAGAAGTCGGTGGGCCTTGTTTCGTTGACGCACAGCAGATACAAGTTCAGGACACAACCATGGGCAAGGTCGGCGCCTCGGCTTACGAGGAGGTTGTAAGGGGGCGTGACGATCTAGAGCAGTAAAAACCGCGTGCCCTGAACTGTATCTGTGTATGCGAGTGCGGTGTGTAAAGCCCATCTTGAGAATGGGTTTGCCGGCCCCTTAGTAGATGCGTGGCTTCTGAAGAGGGTATTGAAGGGCATCCAGCGATGCCATGGTACGGCTGTACTTACCCCTCGCCTTCCTATCACTATGCCAATCCTACGACACCTGACGGGTTTACGACGAAAGGGCGCGAGATTTTAGGGCGCTAAGACGTTTCGGCGCCCTCAAACGGCGCTGAGACACGAGGGCGCTGAGACATCACGGCGCTAAGACACGAGGGCGCTGAGACATCACGGCGCTGAGACACGTCGGAGGCGAGACGAATCGGCGCTAAACTGTATAATGTTGACCCATGTCGAATAACTTCACAAATCACCTCGGAATAAAACACAGGTACGTCCCCCCCCAATTATCCCAAGCAATGTTCTGATTTTCTAGTCATAACCGATAACCGAATCTGACTATGGCAGCTCAAGCCGATGGTATTCACTTATCTACTACGAAGAAGAAGAAGAGACTCCTCATCCATGAGGGGTTTTCGTACACCAAGGACAAGGACGGACTACAGGACACGACTTACTGGAGGTGTGAGCGGCGAGGCGAATGCAAGGGACGCTGTAAAACCGTCAGGGATGACGTGTTCAAGACAGTTCCCCACTGCCACCCACGGGATGCGACGCGTGTCACAGTCGAAAAAGCCAAGGAGGCGCTACGGACAAGGGCCGCAACAACAGTTGAGCCAACGAGTGCCGTTCTGAGAGCTGCAACGAATGATCTGTCTGCTGATTGCCTATCCTCGTTACCTAAGGCATCTTCCCTTAAAAGAAATCTATCCAGCGCGAGCGGCTTGCTGCCGGTAATGTTCCTCCAAATCCAAGAAACTTACAAGAACTTGTTCTCCCGGAGCAATTTAAATTGACAGCAAGTAACAAGAACTTTCTGATGTTCGACAGCGGACCTGGAGAAGACCGGATTCTTCTGTTCAGTACAAACGAGAATCTGAATCTACTCGAAACCTCCGAAAGCTGCTACGTGGATGGTACCTTCAAGAGCGTCCCCAAGATATTTTGTCAATTATACACAATCCATGCTCGCTGTGACGGTCAGGTATTTCCGCTCGTGTATGCCCTATTACCTGACAAACAGCGAGTAACGTATGACCGGTTGCTTGCTGCCCTCGCAACGCTACGAGATACCTTGGAACCACACCAACTCCTTTCAGATTTCGAGAAGCCAGCTATTCAGGCCTTCCAGCATGCGTATCCACTGCTAAGAGTAACAGGATGTCTTTTCCATTTGGCACAGAATATCTACAAGCATGTACAAGAGTATGGCCTCCAAGTACCCTACAGCCAAGACCAAGAGTTTTTCTTGTTGGTGCGAATGATATCTGCTTTAGCGTTCGTACCACAAGGGGATGTTGTCAGATACTGGGAGCTTCTCAAGCCACGGTTTCCAGGAACCTATGCCGAGGGAGAGCAGAAACTCCTTCGCTACTTTGAACGTTACTACATTGGAGAGGAAGTTCAAGACGGCCCACGAAGGATTCCGTCCTTCCCAATAACACTCTGGAACGTCCATGAACGTACGATCCAGAACGAACCAAGAAGCAACAACTGCCCCGAAGCGTGGCATAGAAGATTTAATTCGTCCGTAAACTGCTGTCATCCGACTCTCTGGAAATTCATCGAAGTTCTTAAGTCAGAGCAGCAAACATGTGAGACCGAAAGAGCCAGACTACAAGGAGGAGATGCACCACCACCAAGGAAGAAGAAGTATGTGGAGGTGGACAAGCGATTGGCAACTCTAGCGAGTACCTTTGAGCAACGAGACCCGTTACAGTTCCTCAGAGGAGTGGCCTTCAACTTGAAGGCGTACTGAAGAAGCTTCCTTCATATCAACGATTATTTTTGCTTTGCGTATTGTACGATGTTGAATTATTTATCGCTACTTCTGACCACCATTACTTTCGAGAATAATTCGATAAAACTTACATTGTATTCACAGCAAACTTGAAGATTGAAAAAAATTAATCAAAAGGCAATGGACGCCCTGTGGTAGTGGTGACATTCTGTCTCGGGGACGTGTGGTCCATACGCCTTACTGTCTGCGCGGCAAAATGTTCTCGCGCCTTACGGTGCAACGCCCTATTGTCACAGACGCCATCAAGTCTGGCGCCCAGGTATACTTCGACCTACTGTTAGATGCCCTACTGTCGCGATCCCCACCTGACGGATGCACGCCGGAAAAGTAGTATCCTGAATGGCCATGACAAGCTGCTCTACCAAGCCGCCATGCTGCTTCTTTGAATTTCTTCGATGTGCTGAATTCACTAATGGCATCACACGGAGCTGTACTAGCTGCCCTGGTGACGGACGCCTGCAACTCTTCCTGCTTTCATCCAAGAGGGACGCATTCGGTAAAGGCGTTACTAGTGACATTGGCCCGTCTGTACCGCCGTACTGCCCGGCCCGTGCCATGGTTAGCTACCCATTTGTCACTCGTCGCGAGGGACCGGAGCAACACTTGTTCGTACCCTCGAACGGACAGTAGCTGACCAGGCAGTCATTCACAGTAACAGTACGGTCTCTTGTCGCTGCGGCCGGTGTACCATCCCAGTCGAACTACTCCGGGCATTCAGTCCACATTGGTGCAGCCACCACCGCTGCTATGGTTGGTGCCCCCGACTCCTTCTTCCGAGTGGCAGGTCGGTGGAAAGAGCGATGCGTGTTTATGCTACATCCGGACTACAACAAGCGCTAATCTCCAGCAATCGTCCTGGCTTGCTGCCGTTTCATGGACGCCATGATCCCCGACTCGGGTGAGTAATGAGCTACTGAACTCTAGCTGCGCAATGCTTGCCTGTGCTGATATTAATTGACCCTTGCTGTGCGTCGATAGTGCTTAGCTAACGGAGTGCTGGTTTCATGGGTCCACTCTCACAACTGGTGTTATCTAGCTATTTGCTGCGGCTCTGCCTTGCGCTATATTGCATCCATTTAGCATTGCAGCTCTACGTTGAGCTAACAGCAGCTCTACTTTGAGCTAACAGCAGCTCTACTTTGAGCTAACCGCAGCTCTACTTTGAGCTAACAGCAGCTCTACTTTGAGCTAACAGCAGCTCTACTTTGAGCTTATCGCAGCTCTACTTTGAGCTAACAGCTGCTCTACTTTGAGCTAACCGCAGCTCTACTTTGAGCTAACCGCAGCTCTACTTTGAGCTAACAGCAGCTCTACTTTGAGCTATCAGCAGCTCTACTTTGAGCTTATCGCAGCTCTACTTTGAGCTAACAACCGCTCTACTTTGAGCTAACCGCAGCTCTACTTTGAGCTAACCGCAGCTCTACCTTGAGCTAACAGCAGCTCTACTTTGAGCTAACCGCAGCTCTACTTTGAGCTAACCGTAGCTCTACTTTGAGCTAACAGCAGCTCTGCTATGAGCTAACTGTAGCTCCGCTCTGAGGTAACAGCAGCTCTACTTTGAGCTTCAAACCAGTTGTTTCGAAACCAGCACTCCTCAATCCAAAGATGCCTCTTTGTTAACTTGTTTGTGTGAGGGATGGGGCTAACTGGTCTATACATGTTGTGCATGTACCGGTATACCGGTAATCCTTCTACAGAGAGTTGTATTTTTTCTCTCAAGTATTTCACTCTGCGTCGGTGCTGACCAGTACTGACCAGTGCTGACACTTCGTTCGGAATCATTTCACTCTACATCATAAAAATGTATTAATACGTGCAGTGGACATGTAGGGAGCAGTCGTGAAAACCGAGTACTACTACTAGAACTCGAGTCTGGACAAGAATAATGGAAGTGCTGTGCATGTATGTTGACCAGGAGAGATTGCATGTAGCGACCACTGGACAAGTAGTTGTGACTGACAGCCCGGCCAAAGTCCAAAGGGGAGTTTACCTGAAAGCAAGATAATGCACCGTAATGGTGAAAGAGAGTCGATCATAGAGCAAACCTTACTGGCAAAAGGAGAAGGAGAAGTTATGTTCAAGAACTCTCCGATTTCAGCTATTACAAACAGCAACCTCGGACTCATCTCTTGCCGATGATAACAGTACTCTGTGACCATGTTCTGTTGATAACGGGTTTGAAATGATTGTGTTGATAACGGGTTTACAACGGGTTTACAACGGGTTTACAATGATTGTGTTGAGGACTACTGTAAAACCGGAAAGTTTAACGAGCAAAAAGTTAAACGTTTTGGTAATTTTGGCATGATTACGTGCAGAAAGTATAACTAAACGATGGCTACCTGGCAACCCAGCTGTATGCGCATCTTTACGCAGACATCTAGCGATAACGTTTTGTTTCAAATAAGTATGGCTAATCTCCAGGGCTGCTTATACTCCGGAAAATACGGCAGGGGAGCTGTATGGCACATACTATGATGGCCAAATTAACAGTGCTAACCTGGGTGGATGTCTGTATTTCGCGACAAAAACTCTGGGTGTGGCTGACACTCTGGAGAAGGCGATACTTACTGACTTGTGTCAGGGGCTAGTGAAGAGAAATCGATTGCACTCTGGTAGCCGAGTTGCTTGCATATGACGTCAGCGTTGTCTAGAGACCGATTTGCCGAGAAATCTGACCGCTCGCAGAGAAGTGCAGATTGACCAGAGGCTGTTATTATCCTGGGATAGCCAATCCACGGGGTACGACCACCGATAAGCTGCACGGATTCTGTAGAGCATGCCACAGTCACAGACACAAACACAGGTAGAGAATGCATTGCACTATACGGTGAAACAATTCAGAAACATGCCCTGGCCAGAGAGGATGGTGGGCATGTGAGGGGTGGTTGCCCTGTGAGCGTGGTTGCCTTGTGAGAGTGTTTGCATTGTGAGGGTGGTTGCCTTGTAAGGGTACTTGCCTTGTGAGGGTGGTTTCCTGGTGAGGGTGGTTTCCTTGGGAGGGTGGTTGTCTTGGGAGGGTGGTTGCATTGTGAGGGTTTTTGCATTGTGAGGGTGGTTGCCTTGTGAGGGTCACGGGTTGCCTTGTGAGGGTGGTAGCCTTGGGAGGGTGGTTGCCTTGGGAGGGTCACGGGTTGCCTTGTGAGGGTGGTAGCCTTGGGAGGGTGGTTGCCTTGGGAGGGTCACGGGTTGCCTTGGGAGGGTCACGGGTTGCCTTGTGAGGGTGGTAGCCAATACATACATGTACATCTGAAGAGCTGAGATGCAAAACTCTCCAAATCCATTTCATCACTTTTCAAGTATGGCCAAGAAAGGATTCATTATGTGCGGTTAGTATCTAAATCCAAATTTGGGTTCCTGTTTTGAAATGATTCTAGTCAGACTTTGAATGTAAAATTTTGCCAGGTGGTGCCTCTCGACCTTTTGATTACACTGAGCGGGAAATCACATTTTCTCAAATTTGGCGTTTATCGAGTCCTGCATCTCATATGTTGATAAGTATGTGCTGACTTTGGGGGTCTAATGGGATCCACTGGGACCATGGCTAGGTACCGTATCTGACTGACAAGCCCCTGACGTTGTGTGCCGGTGTGCCTTTCTTCCTATACATATTCATGTACATGCATTATGTGCAGTCAACCAACGCGAATAACAATTCTCGATTGTGCCTGCCGAGGAAAGTGTCATTATTTATGACGGCGAGTTAGCATTACTCATGAGGTTGACAGTACATGTATGCAGTCAAATGGTGAATAGGTCTGAAATGATTGTGTAAACTAAATTACACTAGTCGCGATAGGCCTTCTGTAAGCATTCATAGCTTTGCTGTGTGTATGCACCCCTCTACTGTGTGTGCGTGTGTGTGTGTGTGTGTGTGTGTAAAAAGTAGGGATTCACTGGCCAGAAAAAAGCCACTTCAAAGCTGTGTGGTGTAGACCAGGCTGAATAGTGGTGGTCAATTCTTCAGCCTTGCAAGCTGTTGAATGGTGCAATCCCAGCACAAGTTGCTATGGCTTCTGCTGTAGCATCGCTATCATCGCCTCTGGCGATGGGCGTCCAATGGTCAATGGTGTGTGTGTGTGTGTGTGTGTGTTGGCGTATCCAGGCGGGACCAGTGGGACAACCGCGTCACCTCGGTTACCATGGTCCGAACCCTCGGCATTGACTGTGACGTCGCGGACATCATCCGGGAATATTGACTGCGTTGGCTTGGCCATGTTGGCCGGAGGAACGACGATCGCATGCCGAAGCGGGTTTTATTTGGGGAGCTCCCTGCAACACGCCCTCGCCATGGTCCACGCAAATGGTGGCGTGACGTCATCGTGGATGATCTCCGCTCCATCAGCCCCCCCCCCCCCCCTGTGCCTTCTGACTGCTGGTTTGATGCTGCTCAGGATTGCTCTGCCTGGAGGCAGATTGCTCATCGTCGTCCTCCCGCCCGTGCTCCTCCTGATCCTGACTCTGGCTTCCGCTGCGCATGTGGAAAGGTCTGCCGTCGTCCCGGGGACCTCAAGCGCCACGCTCCGTACTGCAAAGCTAGCAGATAGTCTCTTCGCTATCATTGCCATCGGCAATGGGCACGTTCAAGGTTCAAGGTGTGTGCGTGTGCGTGTGTGTGTGTGTGTGTGTGTGTGTGTGTGTGTGTGTGTATGTGTGTGTGCGTGTGTGTGCGTGTGCGTGTGTGTATGTGTGTGCGTGTGGGTATGCATCCCTCTTCTGTGTGCGTGCATCCTTATGCTGTGTGCACGCATCCTTATGCTGTGGGTATGCATCTCTCTGCTGTGTGCATTCATCCCCTTGCTGTGGGCATGAATCGCTTTCCTGTATGCGTGCATCCCTTTCCTGTGTACGTCATGGATGGTGGTTACTCCAAAGTACACGCATTCACTATTTACATGTACGGTATGTACTGTGTTTCACTGAAACACAGTACTACTACATGATTGTGCAACTAGCCAACCAATGGACTTGAAGAAGGGCCACAGGTTTCTCAGGGATGAAAAGAGTGAACGTCCTGGAGCCTGGAAGTCTGATATGACAGAATGCTGACGCAGTTAATACTGCGACGACATAAGAAGAGATATTGAACTCCACAGGATAATGAACTCGCATGATTATAGTGAAAAATTTGGTGATAATAGTCATGTAGTTCTTATAGTGAACCAGTGCCCATGGTCTTGTTTTGAACCTTGAACCCAGGCAGTTTTCGTCTACAACGAACCAAATCTACTACTAAGTTAGTGTGGCCTCATGTACACTAAGAAGCAGGGAATAGTAACATTTACTACTCCCTGCTAAGAAGTAAAACAAAGCCAAAAAGAAACAAGAAAACTACACTCACACTCACACTCATACTGCATAATAGTACATGTACATGTCACATGCTAGTTGTGTTATGTTATGTTACCTTTATTTTACTTCACCATAGGTACAGGCATTGCTGCCTTCTAGTCGTGACGATGTTGCTTGCTTGTATGCATAGTGTGAGTGCCATTTCGGTTATAAAGAACTTCGGCTAAAAACTAAGTAAAAAGACCTGAATATCCTATAGCCTACACAATGTTGTTCGTTATAAGTGGAGTCAACTGCATGCTTACAGTCGACTCAACTTACAACGAACTCGCATATAGCGGATTTCGTGATAATTATACCGAACCGTTGTCCATGTTCCCACACTGGGCCACAGTGTACGAGTGCATGAACTGCAAACTTTTACCGGTATGGCGGTAACTTTATTTTCAGCGCGGAACAGTTCAATACGGAGCGAACCTGGTCGGGACATGACAAGACGTAAAAATCACTATGAATTATTTTTAATCTTGCTTACCTGAGCCAACTGCTTGCGGCCCTTGAGACACGGAACAGGCTGCGGCAACGAGGAATGCCAAGGAAACTGCGTGCCTCCGCATGTTGAAGAAAACTGCGCGCAGTTGCGGCAAATCACCGTCAACGCTCGTTGTGAAATCGGAGCAGTTTTACTCCGGTTGCCTCTCTCTACGTTTCAGTGAACTAGTTACCTACTCCCTGGAGCAATATTCTGTTACGTGAGCAGTCGATAAACTGACATCTCCGGGCGATGTAGGGTCCGGGGCAGCACTAAACAAGGTGAAACTTCGCTCTCATCATCACACGAACACACGCACCCCCCCCCCCCCCCCCCACACACACACAGGCGCATACACAGCGGCCATAAATCAACGCCATTGGCTTGAGCAAGTGCAGTGTCGGAAGGCGAACAGGTGACCAACCTCCCAATACAGGGACGGAGTGCACCTACCCCGAACTAACTTTATTGTACTTTGCGGTGTCTCCTGCTAGCTAAACACGAATGTGACAAGTCAAAGTGTCATGTTAGCACGCACTGCAGTCATGCATGCTGTGTAGCTAGTGTACATCAGACTACAGACAGTTCAGAGTCTGTCCCAGCGACTCCCAGGGCCAGGGTTAGGCTGGACCATACTAGACTGGAGTCTCCGTTGGGGGGGGGGGGGGGGGGGGACAAGCAGACCCCATAAATGGCATAATTTTACGATACAATTGTCAAAAATTATTATTATTGTCAATGGTCGCACTATAATTATTACCGTGTTTATGAACGAAACGTTTCTCGAAGCTGCAATTGTAGGCTGGACATAGTAGTAGTAGTAGTAGTAGTAGTAGTAGTAGTATTTTTATTATTTTGTTAGGGAAATCCCTACAGACGTTGCCGTCTTGTTACAGGAAACACGTTATGCTCCGGATATACATGTACATGTAGGTACCTTGAATTCCCAAACGTTGGTCAAAATGGGGGAGGGCCCGTAGGGTCCGGCGGATTCTGCCGGCAGAAAAATTGGCACATACATGTAATACTTAGGTGCGCGTCGATCTCCTTAGTTCCGAACAGGCCGAACAGGCCCTAGGTCTACCGTACCCAGTGTGTGTGTGTGTGTGTGTGTGTGCGTGCGTGTGTGTGTGTGTGTGTGTGTGTGTGTGTGTGCGTGTGTGTGTGTGTTACAGTATTCATAAGGCCAGGAGTCAGCGTCCCGGATGCGCAAGGCATATGACAACGCCTGCTTGACGTTCGTCTTGATTTTTGCACGTCCTTGTGCGGTGAAAAAGGACGTATCAGAACTACTGTATACCCTCGCAGGGCGACTATAGCCCCCCCCCCCCCCCCCCCCCCCCAAGTACGACATTGATGCTTTGAGCCGGTATAAAACATGCTTCGTTTTTCACTTTTAATTAATTTTAAAACACTGGTCTTCATTGCTTTCGGTTCAGCAGCCAGTCATTCTGACCTCCGCTGAGCAGTCGTTCCAAGGAGGTGGAAACCATGAGCTAGCTATGCGGAGATTGCTGAGCGTATTGAGATTACAGTCGCCGAGCAATTGAGATCCGGGCAGATCCCGTCCAAGTACCGTCACAGACATACATACAAAGATGGTAACTTCGCTAATTGAACACTATCACCAAAAAGAAGACCTACGGATCCGCAGAATTTGACAGACCGCATAGCGTCCACGTGACTGAGGCCGCCCTGCGTGTTACCTGCTAATCAGCAGAGATGACTTCCAAGCGTATGAATGGTGTACTTCAAAGTACATGAATGCCGAGGCCACGGTTTGGAACCAAAGCGGCAGAGGGAAATGATCAGCCAGTTGAACTTCCGAAATCAGCTTGGAGACGTGGTTGTGTGCCAGGTCGCTCATTCACTGA